TCTGGACATAAACTTTGGCCGCATGTGGCAGTTCTTATAGTATACAATGAGAAACTGAGAACCACCTGAGATGGAGAGCAAAGATTGTCACCAATACAAATGTCTCAGGTCTGTTTTAACATGTTGCCAAACTACACTCCCAGGCGCTGAATGTTCGCCCTGTTTCTAAACCTCCACACCACAGAGGAGAAGCACAATGAAGGGCATTAAAGCAGAACTCCTCCCACTCAGCTGTGGAGCGTCTAATAAACCTCCTGAAATGCTGGTGGCAACACCATCAGCTGGTGAAACAACACTGTTGAGATGTTGTTTCATCTCAACAATTGAGATGATCTCAACATCTCAACTGTTGTTTCCAAAAATATGTATATTTTTTTTGATACTGCAAATCAGTCATCAACACATTGATCTTTGCCTTAGTGAAATTCTGTTTTTTTTTTTTTTATCATTTTTTCTGTGGTTGCCACTGTTGACCACCTGGCTCATCTTTATACACCTTAACATTCATGAGGTACTTTGCATTGACCATGTGGTTTGAATGAGGGTGAACAGAGGGCAGAAGATGACATGGAACATTGTATGCAAATGTTCAGGTGCTGCCGTGATTTATATTGGAGAAATTACTCCTTTATAAACTGTGAGAAAAGTTTTGTAAGTCTTTTCTAGTTTTTGGATTTTAGGTATATGCACACTTTTAGTATTGATAACACTCAAAGTTTTATAAATGAGACTGCAGGAGTCCCAGTCAAATCTCAGTTCTTTACAGCACAAGTCCATGTTGATCATGAAGTCTTTCATTTCAACCTTGAGTTGCCAACTATAGTGAGTTGTTACTGAGTGCTCAAACAACATTTCTGTCATCATTCTTAACGTTACTCAAATCTTATTTTTTGTTAGATCACAATAAATGATTACATCGTTAGTAAACAATTCATGATGATGGTGTGAATGTATTTCAGCTTGGCTAACAAGTGATTTTCAGAGAAATCTGGCCTCACTTGTCAGATGTGCAGTTTATAAAAACCAAGAGACTGCACTTGTCAGCATATTGTGAGATAATTATTCATTTGGCCAAATGGGCAGGTAGGGCTTTTTATCCTTCAACTCTCTGGCAACATGACATGTTTTCATTTTCAGTAATACTCTTAATAAGGGCTTTTTTTTCTTTTTTTTTTGCATCTTGTGACATTCACTTATAAAAACCATGACAGATGTTTAAGAATGATATAAAATTATGTGAAAATCACCCATTGGTTTATTAACTTGCCTTTCTTTCAAAGTGAAAAACAAATAAGTTTGAAGTAAGTTGTTCATAAAAATGTGTTTGAAATTGTATCAGAAAAGAGTCATCACAATTTCTATTTTTGCTAAACTTTATTAATAAGATACCAAACATGATGGCAGGTTTGATCCATGTTTTAGGAAAACAAAACCGATTTCCAATTTCTCAGCAACACATGACAAAGTTGCTGATGTTCAAGATTCCATTTTATGAAGTAGCAGCAGGTGTTGTAGCTGCTGTTGTAGTTGTTGTAGTTGTGGTGGTGGTGGCAAGAAGCTGGACAAGCAGGGATAGCAGGGTGGCAAGGTTAGTTGTTGAGGTCTGTGGAAAATCATAACAGTAGTTAGATATATGGCAGAATTATGCAAAAATTACACAGTAAAAGTTGGTCATTTGTTGTTTATAATAGAGAAAAGAAATGATTCTCACCTCTCCGGAGTTCGATCCAGAGCCAGATCCAGAGCGAGCAAATCGCTGGTGCTCCATCTGAAGAGAACAAACAGGTTCAGTCAGTCTGCAGTTTCTATTGACTTCATTTTCACAGCAGACCAAAATGAGCTCAAGAAATTATACCAGCATCATGATAGAAAGCAGGAAATATCTTGGTACATGTGTTTCTGTCAAACCATCTCAACATAAAAAATGAAAAAAAAAAAACTTTAAAATTATCTGACTTAATTCTTCTATAATATTTTCACTTACTGGTGTAGCCACAATGAGGCTCAGGAGGCATCCAAGAATAAGTGCTACCTTCAGCATGGCTGCAGTGATTTCAGCTGTTGGAACATAAAGTCTCTATCAAGCAAACAAATTGGTTCAGTTCTATTAAGAAATGAAGCATAAATTCATATAATCACCGTAGAGTCTTCTCTAGTTCCACTGACTGTCCCACAGGAGGTTGTGGTGCTGAGCTGAATTTTGGACTCCTCTTATATACAGTATCAGAATCAGAGAAATTTGGATATTTTTCCTTTTAAAAGTGCAACCTTGTTGCAATGTCTAAACAAGGATTAGATACACAATCCACACTTTGATAGCTCCTATGTATAATAAATAACTCATCCTGGTTCACTTGAATAGCAGATCAATAAGAGCTAAATTTTATTTCATTTTCCTAAGGTCCAGATGTACAAGAGCCTTTATCAATATGGATTACGAAAGATAGGTAAAGTTCTTCAACATAATTTTGCTATTGCTCTTACAATAACCATGCATGTCTTGA